GTGACGACCCCGGGCTGGACTCCGCTTCGTCCACGGTGAAAGCCGATCCGGCGATCCACAGCGCGAAGTTGATGTATTTCCTCAGCGACCAGCACGGATCAGCTCTAGGCATGACGAAGCGGATATCGTCCTCTTTTGGAAGGCCAAACAAAGTAGTTTCGCTTTCACAACGAAACACAGTGCCTTCACGACATGGCGGCGGCAACAACAATACTACAGCGAGAATAAAAGTTACGCCTTCTTTCTTTGCGTGAACATTTGGGCGGCGTTATGCAAATCTTCCCACATCGTAACGTAGACATGTGGGGGCGTGTTAGAACGAGCCGTTCTTGGTTGACTCTTAACTTTTATAAAGAATATCTCTTTGGATTTGAGACTTTAGTCTTTGCAACTTTACAGATCTTCTTTATGCACCAAGAGCTTGTAACACTCCAAGGAGAAAGGAAAAATTGAAATCGCATCATATGACCCCTTTAAACATTGTCATTATAAAAAGTTAAGCAAATTATTACAAATAACAAGATTAGCCAATAATTCCGCTAAGCCCATCAAAAAACACATACTAAATTTAACTGCACAGATGATGACACAAAAACACAAAAAATGAAACCGATAATTGAAAGTACGTCCAGATGTGATCATGCAGGCTCCAGACGTTAAGGAGGGTGTTTGTGCAACTCAGCCATGACGGCCGTGACAAACACTGAAGCAGAAAAACATAATGAGTAAGTCCCGACTGATTGAGTTGCACCAGGCACCAGCCAACAAACCCCGACCCCCAACACCCACGCCGCCCATCCTGCCTTTTATCATGGCTGAACTTCTGAGTCAGCAGGATCTGGACTGGACAGGAGCCATCTTTGATCCTGCTTTACTTCCAGTCAGGTTTTCAGACATGTTTTTGTTTCTTTTCTTTTTTTTCACAGTCCCCCTCCCTCGATTGTATTAGCTGTAGCCCTGGGCCTTGTAAGGCTCACGTCATCTGTATAAGGCCTTTTCCATGTTGGTCTGCTCAAAGATGTGTCATATTGTGTTTTAACCTCTGATCACAGGAAAAAAAACCTTCTGCTGACCACTGCCTGCTCATTTGCTGTGTTAGAGGGTCCATAGGGGGGCATCTGATGTGGTTACGAGTGTATCACCCAGTGGATAACTGATGGAGTGATTCTGTCTTTCTCTCTTTCTCTCATACAGAAAGTCTTTGTGATACCTTCAGCAAGCACATATAGTGGAGCAGATGGTGGCCCTCATTGGGTGAGTAATTCAAGACATTGACTTATATCTGGGGGCCCATGAGCAAATGGAAAGGCAAAACGGTGTGTGCACATGGACATATGTGTGAGTGTGTGTGGTTTTGGTGTGTCAGAGAGTGTGGGCGGACCACTTAGATGTATAGCGGAAAATGAAGGAGTTAAATGAAAACGAGGAGAGAAAGTCAGCGACAAATGTGCCATTGAGCTCCTTTGTTGTGTACGCTGGGGAAACCCTGTACATAGTCTGCAAGGTGTCTACCTACACTTCCCATAAACCATCAAATTGACAGTTTGACTGTGGAAATTAGTATGGAGGCCGGGCCATTGGTAAATTACAGGCCGAAATGAGATCATGGGATCCAGACTTTGTCCGTTGCTCTGAAATTCCCATCATCTTGTTTTCAGAGCTAAATGGCCTAGATAGACGGGAGTTGTTGATGCTTTACGCCCACGTTGCTTGTTGTTGTTATAACTTACTGTGAGATCGCTTTCACAAACATAGACTAAGCTTAGCTTGTGTGCTTAATATGTGTTTTGGGATATAAAACCATATATGCTTTCTGGAAGGCATGAAATGGCATGTGGATATAGCTTTGGGATTAAGGTAAGACATTACAGGTGAACGGTGTCAAATTTTTTATTAATCGATATCACAATACTTTCACCTGTTGATTAATCACAGCACATTACAACAATTGTTTTCTGAAATGTTGCAAAATAGACATTATCTAATTAAATGTATGCACTTATCTCTATACATTTCGAGAACAGAAATCTATATAAAGCCAGAATATTATAAAGCCATGGTCAATATACGTATCCTTTTTTTTTTATTATTATTATTATTTTTTTTTTTTACATATTAGAGTTAAAGGTTTATACAGAGGGGGTTCGGATGTCTCTGTTTAGCTCTCCATAAATCAGAAAATGCTGTCAAAAATACATTTTCACTATGTTTTAGAAATAAAATGCTATTTAAACTGCACAAATTCTATATGCAACGCCGTCTGTAAAAAAAGAATAGATAGATAGATAGATAGATTTTGCCTTAGAATTTAATTAAAATTTAATGTAGAATTTAATTAAAAACATGTTTCTCAGAACACAGTTTGGATCATTTTGGACCAGCTTTTGCTTCTGCAATGTCCCTACGAGGCCTAAAATGTTGCCTAAAAAGCTGTCGCTCACTTGGTCTTGGAACAGAGCAGCAGTGATCAAAGACACTTCTGCTAAAATATCAAATGAATAAAAAATTAATTAAAATGAAGAGATTTTATGCTTAAAGGATAAGAAAAATAAACATAATTTAAATGGTAGGGCTGCCCCGTAATAGTCGACTAATCGTTAGTCGACCAGAAGAGGCTTGGTCGACCAAAATTTTATTAGTTGCTTTTATTAGGCGAAGTCACGCAGTCCGTAACTAACAGATCGTTAACAGCTAGTCTATGGTAATACAGTACATCAGGCAGGACATCCAAACATTCATCGACCTCAAATATGGCTTATCATCTGAAATATATAAGTATTAGCAACTTTACATGGCCGCTCAGTGTAATGTTAACCTAGAGAAATGTGCGCTATATGTCTGTGTGGAGAGTGAGTGAGTACTGTGAACAGTAGCGCTCACTGCAGGACAGATGGAGGCGCCGGTGCGCTCACTTACTCCTAAAATACTGGTCATTTTTGCTCATACAGATAAGAGTAATACATCTTTCGAATCTGTAAAGACTCTACGTTTATTTGTGTGCACTCACAATAAAAAACAAATCGTGCTTTTGTGAAATAGGCTAATGAAAGCAAACAGGATGCGCTTTCTGCCGTCTCAGTCTGTGAACTTGAGTGCGAAACACCATGTATATCTTTACATTACAGACATAAAAAATATATCTATAGAGAGTGAAATGTCTACTTTCAAATGAACCAATTCAAATGGAAAACAAATATTCTCAGATTATGTGATCCGTATGAAACCTGCATACAGGCACATCACTACTGCGGAGATGACGAGTCAGTGTCGCCGACTTCATCTCTTAAACCGAGAACAAAGAAAGCACTAGTTTATCAAAATATTAAAATGTTAATGCAGTCTCCTTACTGTTTTTCCCTGACACATTCCTAATCATTACTCCTATTAAATGAAAAGCCCATTGGCAGATATTTTTCTTTGTTTTAAGCATAAAGTCACTTAATTTTGATATATTTTTCAGAAAATAAGACCTAATATATAATTTTGCTTAGATTAAAAACTCTTAAGAAAATATTTTTTGTAGTGTGAAGTAGAAATTTCTTGACTCATTTTGTGAAAACGGCTTTTAAATATATTGCAATTGCAATCCACAGATGCAAATAGATGAAGTGTAAAGAAATAAACATTTAAATGTCTGTTTTTCGTTTCCTTAGTCAGAAAGACAACAAAAAAAGCCCAAAATCTCAAAACTGACTAGTGCATGCCTATACTGTCTTACCTTAATGCAACTTAAATGCTTAATTTTTCTTGTATTAGTTACTGTTTTCCCGCAGGGATGATCAGTTGAGCCTCAAATCTGATGGCACTGCTCAGGTTGGTCCTAGTTTGCGGATGGAGTTTTGTTGACAGTACAGGATGGTGATTTGGCTCAGTCATGTAATGGATCTGACGTCGTCTCTGTCATTGGTCTGTGGCCTGTGGTCCTTCTAATCTAAAGATATGATGCCCACCCAGAGTGTTTCATACGAACCGCCACTTCACATAAAGATCCCATAATGGTTAAAAGAACTGTTTGGAATACTGTGAGTGGGTGTGTGTGAGAAAGAAGGCATGCCATCTAATGCATCTTATGATAAGTGTCTAGAGCACATAAACACCCCGAAAACGTATTTGGACACTGAACCACAGAATAGTGCTACTCTTTAAAAAATAAATGTAACCAACTGGTCTCGAGGTCATTTTTCATGGATGTACAAAATCAGTTTCCCTCAGGTTCACACAGATGTCCTATCAGAGGAACCACCGATGTAGTTTATCATATTAACTATGAACATGTTCCACAATGTTTGACAACCAGAGAGTGTCCAAGACTTTGTCATTTTCGTTTTGAACAATCTATCTATTGCTTCCTATTTTGTAAACTTAACATTCCTCATTTGTGAAATGTTTTCATTAAAAAGTGTGCTTCTGCTATATTTCATTAAAAATATACTCCAGTTGAAAAGTTTGGAGTCAGTAAGTTTTTTAATATTTGTGAATGAAATCCCTTATGTTCAGCAAGGCTGCTTATTTGATCAAAATAAACAATGATATTGCAAAATATTATTATAATTTAAACTGTTTTCAGAAACCTTTTATCCCTGAAGCATGTTTTATTATATTGTGCTGATTTTAACCCTGTGAGAAAACCTTTTTATTCAGTTAACTCTTTTGAAGAGATTTTTAACAGAGTTAAGCTATATATATGTTTGATAGTGTTTGATATTTGTATATATTTATGTTTTATATTTGTCTGGTGTTCTGTAATCTGTATTTTTTAGTAAGACTTTGACCTTGACCTATATTGCTTACTACTTTATACAGCTTTATATTTTTGTGGAAACTGTGATACAATTCAAAGCAAAAGTCTTTACTGTCACTTTTGATCAATTGATTTAATTTAAAGTAAAAAAGTAAAGTAAATGTACCGATTGCCTATAAAAATCATAGTGAATGGTAGAGTGCATATATATTAGCAAAAACACACTTCTTATATATTAAAATTAAGTTAAATGCTAAATAAAATCAATTATAATTTTTTACAGTATGATTTAAATTGCATAAATGATACACATTAATGAATACTGTTCAAAATTAAGATGCTGTATTTGTACACTGTTTAGTTGTCAAATGTTAGTGGGATCATGTTCATAGTTAACTAGGACACTTGTGTGAACTGGAATGGAAATTACTTCATATCCACTAAAAGTCACCTTAGGCCTTAAAAAGTTTGTAAAGGCCTCTTGGTTATATATTAGTGTAGCTTAGTGTAGCTTAAGTATCTCATGGGTTGTATGTATTTGCGCATTTACTCTGCCTACAGAGTTTTGTATTCTAGTAATGTTATTTTCATTACTCTAATTAAAAAGTGAAACAGCTTGTACTTATCTTTCAGTGTCTATTTCAGTGTGCTATTTATTTCATGTCAAATGTTTGTGAAGTCATGTAGGGTTTTAACTCTGTGAGAAAACCTTTTTATTCAGTTAACTCTTTTGAAGAGATTTTTAACAGAGTTAAGCCAAAAAACCTGATATAATTTAGCCATATTTGTTTCTCGCCATGAAAATAGCCACAGAAGCTGGCATGGTGTTAAATAAACAAACAAATGAACTGTTTTCTATTTTAATATATTTCAAAATATAATTTATTTCTGTAATGGCAAAGCTAAATTTTCAGCAGCTGAATTTACTCCAGTCTTCAGTGTCACATGATCTTTCAGAAATCAATATTTATTTACATTTAGTCATTTTCCAAACAACATTGCTTTTTTTTTTTTTTTTTTTTTGTAGAGACTGTCCACAAAGTGACAGGAAGTAGAGTTATATAAATTGAGCTGTTAAGATCCACATTAATACCATCTGCTGTATGTTGAATCACAAACACATGCTGTATTTAAACCCCAGACTCTTTAAGCACCTGTGCTGTGGCCAGTAGTGTTGCAACAGGGTAATAGGATGCTATAGGTGGGGATCAGCGCTGCTGTTTTTGGCTTGTGAACACCTGTCTTTGGGGCAGCCCCATCTGACAATGCAAAGCATCAATCACCCCGGCCATAACTGCAAAGGCACATGTAGATTGCATCAGCCGTTTGCTTTGAAAACAGCTTGTTGCCCTCTTACTTTCCAAAAATTGCTGATGCTATAGGGAATTTCTTAATTAAGTGGAGGGAATATCAGCAGATTTGGGTTATTTATGGACTTGTTTTTCCTCAAGACATAGTACAGAGAAAATTAAGATGCATTCAAAGAACTGGATGTGATTTGAGAGTTGCTTTT